ACACTTACAAAAACACAACAAAATTGAAATTAAAAAAAAATTAAATGCCCACATTAAACGGCTTAAATAGGCCATATAGCTTGTAAATAAAGGATTTTTAATATTTATGAGTTTCGAGCCTAAAATAAACAGTTTGACGCAGAAGGAGGATTGTTCTAATTTATCAAAAGCAGATTTAAAGAAAAAGTTAACGCCACGAACGGGATTCGAACCCAAGACCTTCGGCCCAATATGCCGCTGCTCGACCACTTGAGATATCGTGACTTCGATCCACTCGGACACCAACTCCCCATTTCAACCTACAACCTTTCGAATGGATTTACTAAGAATGAAGAAAAATAATAAAAAACATTCTAAAAATCACATAATTTGGCATTAAACTAGCGTGATAGAGTGGTATGGTAATAAGGATACTAGGAAGCGGGCTTTGTGCTCCCCAGGCACTACAGCCTTCTGGCTTATTGTACCTTCCTAGTTCCTTAATTCAGTGCAATAAACTCAATCTTTCTCCTTAGAAGTATCAGATCATTGACTGTCGCTGCTACAATCTCATTCCCTAGGTTTTTTCGTATGTTAGGTTAAATCTCCATTGAGCTGTTGCTGCTTTGTTGCCCCCCAACACGACAGACAAGAATGACACGCCTACACGGAAAGCAAACACTTTGGGCACTGAAGATGATCTTGGTATGGTATGGTATGGTGGAAAGGATACTAGGAAGCGGGGTTTGTATTCCCCAGGCACTGCAGCCTTCTGGCTTATTGTACGTTCCTAGTTCCTTAGTTCAGTCAATAGACTCAATCCTTTTTCTTAGAAATATCAGGTCATTGACTGTTGTTGCTGCACTTTGATTCCCTATGTCTTTTCCGTACGTTAGGTTAAACCTCCATTGAGCTGTTGCTTCGCATTCAAAGATGATATGAGTGGCTGTTTCCTTCTCCTCATTACATAATCTGCAGATGGGATCATCGCTGTATATACCCATGTTGTGTAGATTTTTCTCAGATACCAGTGACCGGTTAGTAGTCCCACCGCTCCTCTGAGTTTTGCCCTCTCCAATTGCAGCAGTGATTTTGCCAGTCTTGGTGAGAGTTGTTTCATCATAAGTTTACTGTGTCTAGCGTCGCTAGAGTTTTTCCACTTCTCCTTTTGTTTCCTTTGGATCTATTTGCGATGGAGGATTCTATATTTGTTTTTGTTACCTCAAGTATACGTTCGGGGCCTATGAATGGTCTTGCAGATCCCCTCTGGCCTATCTGCTTTCGCGTTACCCAAAATTCACACATGATACCATTAGGTTGTTGTGTTTCCCCGGGTTTTGGAGATTTTGGATACAGTCACTGACTAATTTTGATGTGATTCTTTTACATGCTAATGCTTTAAAGGCTGCTTGGCTATCAGACCTTATGAGGGTTTTTTTGCCAGTATAACCTCTTTTAAGATTTTCCAGGGCACGACCGTCGATGGCATGTATTTCTGCTTGAAAGACCGAACTGTACTTCCCTAATGACTTTGACCGCTCATGTTTTGGGCTTGTACAGAAAACGCCCGATCCTATTTCTTCGTTTGTTTGGGTCATCTGTATACCATTTCATTGTATATGATGCTCTCCTTTATAGTCTGTTGAGACTTTATAGGATGTTGTAAGGAATGTTTTCGGAATCATACAGTCAGTCCGGGCTGATAAAAGATCTTTTTTTGAATGAAAGCACTTTATGCTACCTACATGAAATTGATGACCTCTACCATTTTATATCAAGCAAATCACGACATAAGTAACTTGGTATATATGAGCCGGCAAAAGCCTAGTCAGGGAATGTTGGAATCTAAACCAATTTTTGATAGAAGATAAGATAAAATTGACATCTCTACTTATTAACTTTTTCATAATTATTATTTTCCAAACATTCCGGTGCATATAATTATTATTAGGTCTGAAAGTATGTTTTTATCGATGGGGTTTGAAAGTATAAACAATCTATCGATTGAGGTAGTGAGATGATGGAAAAGACGTGTGCCTTATCTTTCAACGTTTTCCGTTTCCAATCGATTATAAGGAACCGTGTTAAAAATGGTGTTTTGGGGGGAAAAAGCTGTTACATGTTCAAATTACTTAACAGCTTCTCCAAACAAAGTATCCATTGTTTTCACATAGGATGAAAGGGATGTCCTGTCCCGATGAGATGCTGAGAACGATTCTTCATCCTGATAGACGGTGCGGACAAAGCGAAACGTCGCTCTATTTCTCACGGGCCATTAACCGGCCAATTTGCCACGTGTTGCAAAAGTTACGCCTTTAAAGAGCATTATTTCTCTAGAGGCCCTCAGGTGACCAACGATTGCTTTCATTTAACAACACACTTGCGTAACAATGGACTTTAATCGTTTTTTAACGAGGGAAAACTTTGTAGAGTGATTGAAATATTTCAAGTCTCTATAATAAAGGTACTTGGTTTAGCTTGAAGGTATTTCGCTATTGAACTTATTTCATTACATTCACTAATTTCGTGGTCCGCTTGACCAATTAATACATTACAATTAATTAAGGTTTTTAGTTGAGATAAAAAAGTTAATGGCACGAGCAGGATTCGAACCCACGATCTTCGGCTAGATACGCCGCTGCTCTACCACTTGAGCTATCGTGACCTCATTATTTCATTACGATAGTACAAATAAAATTTGCATAATCGCCATTAAAATGCCTGCAAGGCAATTTAATATATGAACTGTTTTTACAAATACAAATTTATCCTTAATTTGACAAGTATTCTAATCGTTGATGTTGATCTATTTTCTTCCAAGTCTCAGTGAAAAGTTAGCCAAATCAACATTTTCATTATTTTGATTTGCTTACATTTATAATTTGCCTGTCCAAACTCCCAGATTTGTTTACACGAGAGTCCATAAATTATTTGGAGATAGTGAGGTGCGGTCTGGTGGGACGTAGGTTTTATAAAAACATTTTCTTTATCATGCCAACGTTTCGATCTTTATTGAGATCATCTTCAGGGCCAAAGTGTTTGTTTTCCGTGTAGATGTGTCATTCTTGTTCATTCCACTACCAAACCCCGAAAAAGAAGATATTTCACCTTTAAACCGGCCAACCTCACTCTTTAGTATCATTTACAAGATCACTGGAAAAGTCAATAATCAATAATGAATTTTCAGACCAAGATCATACAGCTTGCCAAAGTGTTGATGCGGCCACATAGTATTTTAACTAAATTTAAATCCTATACATTATCTATAAATTATATAAACATCATTCATCATAATTTAGGCAATCTTGATCCAGTAATAATAGGGATAGCAGTTGATCGATGTTTCTCTGTTGATGTCCGATGTTTGATTGCATTTGATGTCCGTCTATGTTTTGCTGTTGATGACCGTTGTTTGATGCAATTGATGTCCATCGATGTTTCTCTGTTAGTGTCCGATGTTTTATGGTACTTGATGTCAATCGATGCTTCTGTGCAGATGCCCGATGTTTGATGGCTTTTGACGTCCATCTTTGTTACTCTGTGATGTCTGATGTTTTATGGCATTTGATGTCAATCGAACCTTCTCTGCTGATGTCCGATGTTTGATGGCATTTGATGTCCATCTATGTTTTGCTGTTGATGTCATCTATGTGTTGCTGTTGATGTCCGATGTTTGATGCAGTTGATGTCCATCGATATTTCTCTGCTAGTGTCCGATGTTTTATGGTATTTGATGTCTATCGATATTTTGCTGTTGATGTCCCATATTTGATGGCATTTGATGTCCATCAATGTTTTCCTGTTGATGTCCATAGATGTTTCTCTGTTAGTGTCTGATGTTGTATGGCATCTGATGTAAATGAATGGTTCTCTGATGTTGCCCGATATTTGATGTCATTTGATGTCAATGGTTCTCTGGTGATGCCCGATGTTTGATGGCATTTGATGTTCATTTATGTTTCTCTGTTGATGTCCGATGTTTTATGGCACTTGATGTCTATCGATATTTTGCTGTTGATGTCCTATGTTTGATGGCATTTGATGTCCATCAATGTTTTCCTGTTGATGTCCATCGATGTTTCTCTGTTGATGTCCGATGTTTGATGGCATTTGATATCCATCAATGTTTTGCTGTTGATGTCCCATGTTTGAAGGCAGTTGATGTTCATGGATGTTTCGCTATTAAACATCGATAGCAATCGGTCTGGAGACATGTGTATCTGTTCTAAAAAGTTTGCTCTCTCTTTCAGACTGTCTGTTTATGTGTCTGTCTGTCACTATCTCTCTCACGCACGCACGCGCCCGCACGTGCACACACACAGACACTATTATCTTCTCACTTCATATATATAGTTGATCGTAATCTTGTTATCCGTAACATAGCCATTTACCTCCGGCTGTGTACATCGCTGTATTAACCGCGATAATTTGTGGAAAGGTAAATGTTTTGCACTTACTTTCGTAGTACGGGATAATAGTCGAACTACGATAATCACAAATGGGTTTCCGTTTAAGGGAAAGAGGGCAGGAGGCATCTAATCGTTTTATAAAACGGCAGACCGGTCATTCTCATGTTATTTCGTGCCAGTGATAGATCAATTTCTTTAATGTGTTATTAAAGATAATTTATATCTGACTTTTAGGAATATTTCTCGTAGACAATCACATGTTTTTCGTAGATGAAAAACCACTTTCGTTAAAATAAAAAGAGGTCAACCGGAGAACTTGAGACTGAGTATTAAGCGTGTCAGATTAGACACACGGCTAGTCTACTTGATGCTGAAACGAGTTGAGAAGAAAAGAGGATTCTCTCCGCTTTGATAAAGTGGAATATTTTAATAGTTTAAAAAAATCGTTTTACCTAAACTGGGAGGGCTTAAAAGTTTCTCATTTTTCTGCATAAAGAAAGAAAATCTTACACTCTAACATAGAGAAAGTAGCATGGAAAGTAAAAAATGTTCATATGCGTTTCAGATGTTTTTCGACTTTACATTACAGTTGAAATAAGGTAAATTTTATACCACGTGATTCTCGTGACATAAAAAAAGTTGTGTGTAGAATTTACTATATTTTAAAATTTTTTGTTCCGGGTTTTTTCATTTTCTCGACGATATATAGACATAAAGCACTAACAAAACCAATAAGAGTTCATAAGTGGCAACAGGAACCAGCGTATTTGCATCTTGAGTGGCGTAAAGATCGAATAAGTCGTATATAGGATGGAGGCTGGAGTAGACCGTCACGTTTTGAGGACTGCTACAGTTTGGTGACCAGTTGAGAATGCCATGGACGCGTCCTTTGCAGATGAGAGGTGCTGATCCGCCTTTGAGACAATGGCCGGAATAATTCTCCTCCGGGCGCAGGCAAATGAAATGAGACGCGTCCCGAGGTGTGCACAGGCTCGGATCGAACGAGCAGAGGACTTGTTTGCATGCGGTTTTGCTCATCGCTTTGAGCTTAATCGCCTGAAGTCTGCTGAACTTGAAGAACTTGTGTGAGATCCTGGACCACCATAGAGACACGCAATTGCTTTTCGGAGAAATCAACGTTTCCGAATCGGTCGAAGGCCGCTTGAACGACGTGACGAAAGGATTGAAATAGAAACCGGACTTGAGCCTGATAAAGGCGAAATCGTAGTGCCATACATTATTAGCCGTCTGCAAACATTTCGGATGCATGTGGATCTTCCGAATCATACGGATTTGGGTCAAGCTGGAATTCATGGATTTGACGTCTCTCAACCCCCAAGACGCCTGTCCTCCCGCCACGACCAAAAATTCATTTTTCTGTTTCACGAACGCTATTGTCATGTTGTAGCGTGTGAAGCAGTGGCAGCCGGTGAGTACGTATATCTCCGAAATAATGGCACCCTCGCAGATGTGGTACTCTGTCTGTTCTTCCATTATGAGAACAACATAGGGGTACTCGCCGTATGTAGGAATGGAAATCCCTTTCGCCGTTGACGCGGGTAACCTTTTTCTCAACTTGCTAGGCTCCTTGCTGTACACACTTTCATTTTTTTCCGATGCCGTTAAAAACTCTACAATCATAAGAAATAAAACGGTAAAAATCATGTTTTATTGAATTTTGTGTTAAGAGTGAATCCAACATGTGACATTAAACAAAAATATTTATTCTTATTCATGTTACCATTTAAAAGATTTGTTTAATTTTAAGTTTAGGTTTAAGTAAATTTCATGTTCAAGGAGTACAATTATGACTCAATTGGGAGGTCAGAAAATTATAAAATGCTGCTATTAATACCTTTTTTTAAAGTATTTTATTTTATTTATTGCTACCTGTACAAAATATACATTGAGCAAATTGTTTAGTTATACAGAAATCCTGTAGACCAGGAGGCAGTGGGGAGAGAAACCAACCAGTGCTGGAACTCTCTTTTATTTAATTGGGGTGGGGGTTAATTCGTTGGGTTAGATAGAAGGTCACGAGGCCATCTTCGTTTTAAACAGTGCGGAGGATTGTAAGGGTGGTATGGTATGGTATGGTGGAAGGGATGCCGGGAAGCGGGGCTTGTATTCCCCAGGCACTGCAGCCTTCTGGCTTATTGTACCTTCCCAGTTCCCTAGTTTAGTCAATAGACTCAATCCTTCTTCTCAGAAGTATCAGGTCATTGACTGTTATTGCTGCAATTTGGTTCCCTGAGTCTTTTTCGTACGTTAGGTTAAACCTCCATTGAGCTGTTGCTTCGCATTCGAAGATGATATGAGTGGCTGTTTCCTCCTCCTCATTACATAATCTGCAAATGGGGTCATCGCTGTATATACCCATGTTGTGTAGATGTTTTCTCAGATACCAGTGACCGGTTAGTAGTCCCACCACTCCTCTGAGTTTTATTGTAAGGGTGAGATGTTGAGGAAATAGTTAGGGCTAGGGGGTTAGGGTGGAGGGATGGTCTAAGGTGGAAAGTGAAGAAGCGTGTTCGGATAAGTTCTTTCAGGAAAGGGATTTTAAGATCTTTATGGGTTGTTTGATTGGTGGCATAGAAAGGAGCATTGAGGATATGGCGGAGAACTTTAGATTGAAAAGATTGTATTCGCTGGATATTGGATCATTTGGCCCACAGCTCGATTCCGTAGGTCCAAATAGGTCTGATGGGTGTTTTGTAAGCGGTTAGTTTGTTATGTATGCTAAGTTTTGATTTTGGTCTACGTAGGTGTCTGAGAAGCCCATATCTTTTGTTAAGTTTTCCTGTTTTAATCTTGTATGTGGATAAGTAAGTCTACTATCTAAGTAAAGCCCAAGGTAGCGGACTTGGTTCGATGGTGGTATTATCTTGTTGTAAATGTGCACTGGTGGACAGGTTTGACGTTTGAGCTAAACGTAACTTGTTGGCTTTTTCCTGATCCGCCACAGATTGCACCAGTCAGTAATGAGGTTCAGGTGTTGTTGGAGTGCTTCTGTTGCTAGGATAGGATTGGAATGTGTTGATCAGATTGCGGTGTTGTCTGCGTAGGTTGTGATTTATGTGTTTGGATGTGTGGGTAGTCAGCAGTGCAGATGGTGTAGAGGATTGTCCAGCTTTGATTGTCGTGATAGGTGAAAAATCGGTGCCTACTTACTTTAAACCATCGATCTGAGAGAAAGGATTTAACGATAAGATAATAGGAATGAGGGAGGATACGTTTTAACTTATAGAGGAGTGGTGGTGCCACACTCGGTCATAACGTCCACAAATACGGCTGAGCAGTTGGTTTTCTAGAGCCGAGGATATTGTGTCGACTACTCTGAAGCACTGCTAATAGTGGAATGGAGAGGTCGAAACCCAAATTGATGGATAGTAATGTATTAATACCCAGGACTACTTTCGTATGCATCAAATCTGTAGAGAGAAAGTAAAAACTAAACAATTTACTAATTAATTTTTTTAAATGTAGTTTGTCGTTTTCAGTCATTCTAATTTGTTTTACAATAAGACGCGTTTCAGCATGTTCAGCTTCAGTGGTATGATGATGGTCTAGGAAGTAGGGGTTCCGCCCTGACTTTTGTACTTTTCCCAGTTCCTCAGTTCAGTGCAATCGACTCGATCCTTTTCTTAAGATGTACTAGGCCATTGAATGTCGTTGCTACAGTTATTTTCCTTGGGTTTTCTTTATACACCAGGTTATGCCTCCATTGAGAGGTTGCGTCGCATTCGAAAATGGGTGGCTTGTTTCTTCCTTCTCAATGCACAACTTGCAAATGGGTTCATCATTGAATATGCCCGTGTTGGGTCCATGTTTTCTTAGATACCAGAGACTTAGATACAAGTCCCATCAATCTTCCAAGTTTAGCCCTCTCTAACTGCCAGTTTTGGTGAGGGTTGTTTTAATATAAGATATGTAGTACCTTTAGAGATTGTCCTCTTCCCCTTTTTGCCTTTATTTTTTATCCATTCTGACATGGAGGATTTAGTGTTTGTTTTTTCATCGCAAGAACAGGTTCAGGGGCTATATAAGGTCTTTCAGATCCTCCTCTAGCCAGTTTGTCTGCCTTTTGGTTAACCAAAACCTTTTTGTGTCCTGTTATCCAAGATACAACATCTTCAGCTTGTTGCGTTTGCTTAAGATTTGGAGATTTTGACAGCATTTAATGACTAGTTTTAATGTGATTTTTTTTTTTTACATGCCATTGCTTTAATAGCTGTTTGGCTATCCGATCTTTTGAGGATTTTTTGTCACTGACTTGAATTTTTAAGGCACAATCGTTGATTCTTCTCCTTTGTAGTCTGTTGAGCGTTATAGAATGTCGTAAAGAATGTTTTCGGAATCATATATTCAGCCTCCATTTCTAGGAATGGATGTCTGTTTTTCAAAGATACAAACTCATCCTACGCACTTTCACTCTTTTTTTTTTAATTTACACCACATAACACCGGCACTCAATCATAGACGATTTTATATAATTGTCGGAATGTTAATCGTCTAAATTTCTTTTCAGTTGCGTGCCCTTCACATATTTGTCTAGGGTCGGACGGACGGACGGCCTTTCGAAACGTCTACGTGCCAGAGCAGGTGTTTCGAGGTCTGAGATATGCCCATCCACAGGGGTCAAATCATTTCCCAACATACGGTCATCCTTTCAAAACAAGATATGCAATGCTTACCAACAAACCTGGTTTATCCGTTTCCATTATTATTGTCCAATTTTCACTTACAATAAGATATTTTGTGTGTCAAATCTGTGATGACATTATTTAATCAAATTTTACATACCGAAAACCTATCCTGGCTTGTACAGGTCTTGTACGTTATGAAGAATGTAAAACACCCTTTAATTTTCAATTTTTTAAAGGTTAAAGTTAAGTTCAATATCTTATAAATAAGATTTCAACTAAAGATTCATTGCTGAATTGTATGCTTCTTATTTTTACGAACTAAAAGTCATGTTCATGACATTTTTGTACTCTTTTGTGTAAATATTTACGATTACTGTCTACGTTTAAATTAAAAATCATAATGAAGATATCCAAAAAAGTCGTGATTCGCGAGATTCTGAAACTACTGGAAAAAAGACTGGGTGAAGGCACCCAGTTCCAAAATCTGTGCGATCAAAGTTGAAGGTTAGACAGCGTTTTGATTCAGACGTTTCAATTCTCCAGCAGCATCGATCAGATTCGCCCATTATGCTGATTTACATAACATTGTAAGACAGTTTTCGTTCAACTATTTTGGAGATGATTACAATTCCTTCTTCCTTTTCCTTTGTCTTTGCATATAATTACAATTTAGGTTATGGAAATTGGATAGGTTTGATAACTTAGGTTATGTTGGAAGTGAATATTTGACTTTAAAGCTTGAAAATAAGACTTTTGCAGTAGTGCCGTTATTTATAACATTTAATATATATTTTTCTAAGTCATACCAGACTTTACGATAAACTTAGCTGAAGGCCACATAAGAGGCTACGATATAAAACCAAGTACGTTCTTATGAATAATGATAATTGAAACGACATAGTACAATATAAAAAGTTAAGTTTAGGAAATTTTTCTATTTATTTAAGGTTTCAAATGACTTTACTCTAAATCACCCTCGATTTTGAAGCACGTAAAAATTTTGACTGTTATATTTATAAAAAATTATAAAAAGGATCTCCCCTTGAGAGTAAGATTATTCGGAGATCGTGAGTTGCTGTCTGGTGTGAAGTAGGTTTTAGAAAAATATTTTCTTTATCGTGCCAACGTTTCGATCTTTATTGAGATCATCTTCAGGGCCTGGGATTCATAAACATTGTTTAAATTTTACAAATACATGTAGGATGTGAAAAAATAAATTTATACAATGTTAAAATTTGTATATTGTATTTGTAAAATTTAAACAATGTTTACAAAACCCAGGCACTGAAGATGATCTCAGTAAAGATCGAAACGTTGGCACGATAAAGAAAATGTTTTTCTAAAACCTTCGTCACACCAGACCGCATCTCACGATCTCCAAATATTCATTAACTAACGGTCACTAAACACCACACAATTCTACCTGAGGGTAAGGTTTAAGAAAAATATATTATGTTATAAAAATAAATGTCATGGTTATTGACACTCATTTCAAGAAATAATATCTTTATAATGTATTGGGTTGTCCGGAAAATAATGCAGGATTTTGGTATTAAACAAAAAAAAAGAAACTAGTTACTTTAAAGCAATGTTCTTTAATCAAAATAATTTCCCATACTCTCAATACATTTCTCCCAACGTGTTGGTAACTTATTAATTCCGTCTGAGTAGAATTCAGAATTTTTAGAATTGATAAAGTCAATAAATGCATTTTCCAGTTCCGTTTGATTTTTGAATATTATGTGTTGTAAGTAGTGGTCCAGGTGTCTAAAAAAATGGTAGTCAGTAGGCGAGAGGTCCGGAGAGTAGGGTGGGTGAGGCAAAGTTTCATAGCCAAGCTCCAATAATTTTTGTGACGTTACACGTGACACATGTGGTCGAGCGTTGTCATGCAACAAAATGGGCCCTTTCCGATTGACCAAAGAGGGCTTCATTACTGCCAATTTCTGATGCATGGTATTAATTTGGTTACAGTATGATTCAGCATTGATGGTTTCGCCAGGATTTAAGAAGCTGTAGTGTATTAAACCAAATGAAGCCCACCATACCGTAA